ATCTCAGAGCAGTACTTGTCTTGAAAAATGTGACATTAGGTAATGAAAAAATATAAATAAAATTATACATCCATATTCCTTTTTTTTTTTTTTTGAAAGAAGTTTTTTCCCCTCAAACTCAAAAACAGACTAAACCAAGATTTCTTTTTTCGATGGGTTCTACTACCACTATTAGCTGTATGTTTGGAAAAAGCACTAAAGGAACCCACTCCAAGTAGTGATTCTCTACAATCACGTTCCAAGGACTCGTGTGTGTGCTACAGGTCTCCTAGCAATGGTCTCCAGGCAGGGTCTCCAGAGTAGTTAGGTTTCTCAGGTAACTACAGCACGGGTCTACTCAAGGTTGAGGAGCTTTTCAGAGCAGTACACTGACCTTAAACGGGGTTAAAACAAGACACTACACTCGGTCACTTGTGAATGGGAAGGTCCTAGGGTTCTTAATGGCTTTTGAAGACAAGTGTGAGTCAAAATTTAGAAAGGAGAACCTGATATTATTGAGGAGTTGAGTGCATACACAACTTGGGTCAGGCATGAATGAGTGAGCTTGCGCACATACACAAGCACAGGAGCAAAATAAAAGTGCTGACTGACCAGGGATGTCTGACGGCATCTGGCTAATGTCTAAGTGAAGGGACAAGCCTGTCAGAGCCTGTGGACGGTATTATTGGAAATAATGGACACTTTAATGGACACTAGGGACTATAGGACAGAACAGCCACAGCCACAAACCGTGATTTGGTTTTAGGGGAGGGGCATTCTCATTCTAGACAACATTTGATTGGACAAAAATCCTGTGCAGGATGAATCATCAATATTTTAATCCAATTTCACAGAAGATAAATATTTTATACATTTTAACTATGAATTATTTTCTTATCTTAATTTTGGCAAAATTTAGGAGTACACTAGCAAACAGACATAGACTAAAAGCCATAAAATGTAAAAGATTGCAACGGTGACCGCTCACTTTTTCAGGAGCTTTGGTTCTGAAAGTATTTTTCCACATAGGAATTTTTAAAAACTCTTTGTTAAATGAGCCGAGCCAAACCAACCAACAATGGATAAATATAAAACTACTGATTCAAAGATGCTTTTATACATATAGAAACAATGTATTTTATTACAAAATGTGTACATATACCAATATTTAAGTAGTTTGAGAGCTTATGGAGAATATATTACCTAATTCGCAGTGCTTTGTGGCAGTG